AGTTTGCTTCCTTTTATTCTAGAGCTTCATGTGTTCTGTTAATTCACAAGTGTGGAATTTTTCCAGCTTCTTTATGTAGGCATTTAGTGCTATGAACTTTCTTCTTCTTTTTTTTTTTGTTTTTTTTTTTGTTTTTGTTTTTTTTTGTGTTCATGGCGTCTTTGTCTTGTGCAGCACTTTTTCAATTACAACATATCAACCTTTTCTGGCTCCTTGGGCAGCAGGTACACATGTGGTTCACATATATAGATGCAAACAAAACACGCATACATATACAATAAAAATAAATAGCAAAGCTTTTCAAATTACCTTAAATCTACTATGCATAATAATAGGTATCATATGACATTTTGTGGCTAAGTATGCATTTTGAGCATAGTCCACATCCATGTTTTGTGTGATCCAGAGAATTAGCAATCATATTCATATTTTCTATTTGAATAGGTGCCCCGTCACCACTGTCCATCTCCACTAAGAACCTCACTTTCATCAGAACACCGCATCTTGACCAACCTAGTCAGGGATTCAGGGGACATTAGATCTGAGACAGCACAGGGAACTCTGACTTCTCTATCTTCAAATGAGCAGATTGAGGATTCTGGGCTGACCCCAAGTGTCACTTGGTCATCATCTCAAAAATCCATTCTTTACACTTGGGAATTTGTTGTTTTTTTCTTGTTTGTTTGTTTTTTGTTTTTTTTTTTAAGTAAATTTTATTAAATTATAAAAGTTTCCATTTCCGCCCCCCCTCCCAACACCCTCCCACTCCCCCCACTCCCCCTCCTCCTCCCTCTTCGTCCCCCAGGGCAGTCAGGGTTTCCTGCCCTGTGGGAAGTTCCAGTTCCTTCCCCCTCCCTCCAGGTCCAGGAAGGTGAGTGTCCAAACAGACTGGATCCCCAAAATCCAGTATATGTAGAGGAAACAGGTCCCAGTGTCATAGTCAATGGCTTTTCAGAAAGACTTCGGGCCAGCCACAGTCAGAGAATCCGGCCAAATTCCGAGAATCTGGTTAGATCACGTCCTCGTTCAGTCCCAGTCCAACTGGCCTTGGTAAACTCTCATCAGATCCGTTCCCTTGTATCAGTGGGTGATAGCATCCCTCGCAGTACTGATTTCGTTTTTCATGTTCTTCCTCCTTCTGCTCCTCATTTGGACCTCGGGGGGCTCAGTCCGGTGCTCCAATGTGGGTCTCCGACTGTATCGCCGTCCTTCGCCAGATGAAGGATCACTCCGAAGGCCCTCTCTGAACTTTCTTCTTAACACTGCTTTCATTGTGTCCCACAAGTTTGGGTATGTTGTGTTGTCATTTTTATTCAGTTTTAGGACATCCTTAATTTCTTTCTTTATTCCTTCCTTGACCTAGTGGTGATTCAGTTGAGCATTGTTCAATTTCTATGTAATTGTGGTCTTTCTGAAACTAGTCTTGGTGATGAATTCTAACTTTAAGACATGGTGATCCAATAAGATACATGAGTTTATTCCATTTTTTTTGTATCTGTTGAGGTTTTCTTTGTTACCGAGTATATGTTCAATTTTTGAGAAGGTTCTATGTGGTGCTGAGAAGAAGGTATATTCTTTTGTGTTTGGGTATAATGTTCTACAGCTATCTGTTAAGTCCATTTGAGTCATAACATCTGTTAGTTCCCTTATTTCTCTGTTGAGTTTCAGCCTGGAAGACCTGTCCATTATTGAGAGTGGGGTGTTGAAGTCTCCTGCTATTAGAGTGTGGGGCTCAATGTGTGATTTAAGCTTTAGTAATGTTTCTTTTACAAATGTGGGTGCCCTTGTGTTTGGGGCATAGATATTCACAGTTGAGATTTCCTCTTGATGGACTTTTCTTGTGATAAATATAAAATGTCCTTATTTATATCTTTTGATTGATTTTAGTTTGAAGTCTATTTTTTTGAATATTAGGATAGCTACACCAGCTTGTTTCTTGCTTTCATTTGGTTGGAATTTTTTCCCCCAATCCTTTACTTTGAGGCAATGTCTTTGAGGTTAAGGTGTGTTTCTTACATGCAGCAGAAGGATGGATTCTATTTTTATATCCAATCTGTTAGCCTGTGTGTTTTTATCGGCACATTGAGTCCATTTATATTAAAGGATATTAATGACTAGTGATTGCTAGTTCCTGTTATTTTTGTTGTTGTTATTGTGTGGGTCTTTTCCTTCTTTGGGATTTGCTGCTGTGAGGTCATCTATTGCCTGTGTTTTGGTGGATGTAGCTGACTTACTTAGGTTTCCCTTCTAGTACTTTCTGTACAGCTGGATTTGTGATTAGGTTTTGTTTAAATCTGGTTTGTCATGGAATATCTTGTTTTGTCCTTCTATGGTGATCGACAGCTTTACTGGGTATAGTGGTCTGGGCTGGCATCCATGGTCTCTCAGTGTCTGCACAATGCCTGTCCAGGACCTCCTGGCTTTCAGTGTTTCCATTGAGAAGTCAGGTATAATTCTGATAGGTCTGTCTTTATATGTTACTTGGCCTTTTTCCTTTTTAGCTCTAATATTTTTTATTCTGTATTTTTATTTGGTGTTTTGATTATTATGTGGCAAGGGAACATTTTTATTTTGGTCCAGTCTATTTGGTGCTCGGTAAGCTTCTTGTACTTTCATAGGCATGTTCTTCTTTAGGTTGGGAAAATTTTCCTCTATGATTTTGTTGAATATATTTTCTGTGTCTTTGAGTTGGGCTTCTTTTCCTTCTATCCTTATTTTTCGTAGGTTTGGTCTTTTCATGGTATTCCAGATTTCCTGGACATTTTGTGTTAAGCATTTGTTGGATTTAACATTTTCTTTGACCAATGAATCTATTTCCTCTATCATATCTTCAACATCTAAGACTCTCTTCTAGCTCTTGTATTCTGTTGTTTATGCTTGCATTTGTGGTTCCTGAGCATTTGTCCAAATTTTCCATTTCCAGATTTCTCTGTTTGTGTTTTCTTTATTGCCTCTATTTCAGTTTTTAAGTCTTGAATCATTTCCTTTGCCTGTTTGATTGCTTCTTTTGGTTTTCTCTAAGGGACTTGTTGATTTCTTCCAATTTTTTGTTTGTCTTTTCTGCCACTTCTTTAAGGGAATTTTTTTATTTCTGCTTTAAGGATCTCAATCATCTTCATAAAGTTATTTTTAAGGTTGTTTTCTTCCACTTCATCTGTGTTGGGATGGTCATTCAGGCTTTGCTAGCTTCTGGTGGTGCCATATTGCTCTTTATGTTGTTGTGTGTATTCTTACCTTGTTGTCTACCCATCTCTTCTTCCAGTCGGTATAGGTGGAGCCTGTGCTCCAGGTGGTTTCTCTTCCTCCATTTGGTGTAGTTGAGGGCTGTGGCTCTATTGAATGCTCCTTCTGGAACAGAGCCTCCAGCGGTGGCTCCTCTAGGTGCAAGCAAGCCCAGATTCTTTCTTCCTTTCTAAAAAGGGTTTTTCCTCCCTCTTCAGAGCTGGGCATTCCTGGGTTTGGATCCTCAGCACCCACATAGAAAGCCAGTGTAGCAGCACACACCTGCAATTCTAGCGATGAGGAAGCAGAGATAGGGGACTCCCTAGAGTCAGGGCAAAGGTAGTACTAGAGTCAAGGACGCCATCTCTGTGGTTGAACGTTGACAACTTTAGTCATGTCATCATTATTATAAGGATATCTCTGAGACGCCTTGCCTCATCTTCCCCCACCATCATAGCTCATCCTGAGAGGCTCTGTGGTCTACTGGCAATTTCGTGAAGGGTTTGGGTATGCATTTTAAGCAACACCATATTCCCATCCAGTATGCACTGCTTCTGACACACAGCGGGTGCCAGTTAGTGCATTCACCTAGATGTTTGCACAGCTGAGCAAATAATCCAGTAGTTATTTGACACAGACCTCAGTGTGCATTCTGTTCAGCTACTGAGACTTCCATAGGCCTACAGTTCTCAAGCCTCGGCTAAATCCTGTGGTTCTGATACTATGTTTGGCTCTCCCAGGTCAATGACTTGTTCATTTCACTTCCCTAAGTCATGAATCAAGACGTGAGCAGCAGGTAGTACCTAAGTTAAAATTTTACATTTACTCATTATCTTTGGCCAATCAAAGAAACAACCTTTCATTTTGAAATGTTCATTTGTATGTGTGTAGTGTGGTGTGCGTGTGTAGCGTACATGCTCCTGTGTGCTTACATGTGTGCATGTATATGCCCCTACTTTTGGTTTATTGACACAGGCTAGTAAGTATTTAAGCTAGGTTGACTTTGAATTCCTCATTCTCCTACTTCCAACTCCCAAGTATTAGAACTAAAAGAATGAGTTACCCATACCTGGTAATTTTTTTCAAGTTTTGTAAATTAAGCCCAAACCTTCAGTAAAATTTCAGGCATTAAGCACAATTTTCATGTTGTGATTTTGAACTCTGCCTTAATTGGTCTAGCTAAAAGTGTAACGGGGCCCCAAACATTAGTAGGTTCCCAAGATCTTAGCACAACTGACTCCATAGAGGAAATGTCATTTGATCTGTAAACTCAGAGTGTAGACAGCCCCACTTGCCAAAAATGAAAACAAGGATCTACTCCATCAAAGTCCATATAGTTCTGGGAAAGTCTCTAAATGTACTAACCTTGCTTTTTGGCTTCTATAGTTCTGCTTCTGGCTAACTGTTCTTGCTAACTGAGGTATGTCAACCTAGGACATGGTTTTCATGTTTAAAAGCCCATTCTGAGAAAGACTCTGGGATCCCGGGCACTTAGTGTAGCTGCAGGCTGGGTAATAAAGACTTTCTATTGGCTTAAACCCATGTCTGAGTAGTCTCCTCTGGTGAATACCCCACAACAAAAGAACCAGAAAGTGGAGCCCATTCTTCCTCCCTACTCATTCATGATTTCAAAGATTCTACACTTACATTTGTTCTAGTTCTTGCAAAGGTTTTATGACTTGGGACAGAATAACAAAATTACAAATTATTGAGAAAAGTTTTGAAAGTAAACACGGGAAGCTTTGCTGATTTACCGCCTCGCCTTTATAAAACCGCAGATTATGTGACTTCTTTGAGGAGACTCGTGACTTCTCGGTATGCTGAAGGCCTCTTCCCACAGTTCTACACAGCAGAAGATGGCAGGCGGTACAACGTAAGTCGGAACTCTCTCACTGATCAGGTCTCATGGAAAGAGGCCTTAGTCACATTAAGATATCAGCGTGGGGGATGGGGTGGGGAGAGTAGCCAGGCAGTGGTGGCACACACCTTTAATCCTAGCACTCAGGAGGCAGAGGCAGGCGGATCTCTGAGTTTAAGACCAGCCTGGTCTACAGAGAAAGTCCTAGGATAGCCAAGGCTACACATAGAAATGCTGTCTTGAAAAACCAAAGAAACACACACACACACACACAAACAAACCCAAAATCCCAGGGGTTACGGAGATTCTGGCTTCTGAATTTCTTTGACAGGGGCAGAAGTTGTGGTTAAGCAGCAGGGGAAGGAAGCCCATGACCTGAAAGAGTTGAAAGCAGGAAGCTCTTCCCCCCTTTATATTGATTTTTATTGAGCTCTACATTTTTCTTTGCTCCCCTCCGTGCCTCTCCCCTCCCCTTCAACCCTCTTCCAAGGTCCCCATGCTCCCAATTTACTCAGATCTTGTCTTTTTCTACTTCCCATGTAGATTAAATCTATGTATGTCTCTCATTGTCTAAGTTCTCTGGGATTGTGATCTGTGGGCTGGGTTTCTTTGCTTTATGTTTACAAACCACTTATGAGTGAGTACATGTGATAATTGTCTTTCTGAGTCTGGGTTACCTCACTAAAAATGATGTTTTTCAGCTCCATCCATTTGCCTGAAAAATTCAAGATGCCATTTTTTTTTTCTGTGTAGTGCTCCATTGTGTAAATGTACCACATTTCCCTTATCCATTCTTCAGTTGAAGGGCATTTATGTTGTTTCCAGGTTCTGGCTATAACAAACAAGGCTGCTATGAACATAGTCGAGCACATGTCCTTGTGGCATGGTTGAACATACCCAAAAGTGGTATTAACCAGGTCTTGAGGAAGGCTGTTTCCCAATTTTCTGAGAAATTGCCACTCTGACATCTAAAGGGGCTACATCAGCTTGCATTCCCACCAGCAATGCAGAAGTGTTCTCTTTTCCCCACAACCTCTCCAGCATAAGTTGTCATCAGACACACATCAGACAGAGGTCTGATCTCCAAAATATACAAAGAACCCAAAAAATTGGTCATCAAAAGAACAAATAATCCAATAAAAAATGGAGTACAGACCCAAACAGAGAACTCTCAACAGAAGAGTCTAAAATGGCTGAAAGACGCTTAAGGAAATGTTCAACATCTTTAGTTATCAGAGAAATGCAAATCAAAACAACTCTGAGATTCCATCTTACACCTGTAAGAAAGGCCAAGAGCAGGAAGCTCTTGATCAGAAACTTGATGATCAGCTCTTGATTACTTACCAGCTCTTCATCTTACTTTGAAAAGGAGAGTGAAGAAGAGACAATATGACAGCATTCTCTGAAGCCACCTGACGCAGGACTAGGGACAGTGCTGTCAGGTGGAGCTGAGTCCACACATATCACACTCGGACCTACAATGGAGTTCATGGTCTTGTACAGAAGTAGATGTTCACAAATGTCAAGGGACATCTGTGTATCATCAGGATTATTGAGGCCCTTCTGAGACCCCCCTCCCCCAGTTAGCCACAATTGTCTAAAGGAATAGGATGAGTAGAAAGAATCTGTCTATTAAAAGGGCACTTATTACAATGGCTCACAGACTGAGGTTCCTCTTGTCAACAATGGCCACCTCCAGATGGAAAGGCCAAGAAGTTTCGTCCATTAGACGAGATGTCTCAGCAGTCCGTCAGGTGCCGGAGGCCCGGAGGATTCCTAGGAGCTGCTGGTCTTTAGTCTACATTGGGATCCTGAAGAAGTGGGTGGTAGCCCCTGCTAAGGAGCGCCTCAGCAACAGGATAGATGAACTTGCCAGTGAGAATGAGGGGCAAACAGGCCAAAACAAAAGCCTCTCTTCAGGGTCCTCGCATGTGGGCGGTTATCAGAAGGTGTGGCCCAGATTTAGGGCGGATCTTCGGATCCTAAATGGTCCAATCAAGAAATTCCCTCACAGGAGTGCCAAGCTGCTTGGATTTGGGCTAATTTCAGATGTAGTTGCCAACTACTATTCATCAAATTCTCAACAGATACCCACATCCAGCATGCTCAATTCAGTTATAGTAGAAAATGGAATTTGCTTAAAACCTATTCAATTCTCCTTTAAGTTGTTTCTAGTTAACTTATAATACCTGACACAATATAAATGCTGTGTGAATATGTCTTACATCATATTGTTTAGGGGATAATAACAATAAAAAAAGCCTGTTGGTAGCATGCATGCAGTTCATTTTTAAAAAATATTTTCCACCCTAGGTTGATTAAATCTGAGAATATTGACCCTGTGGGTAGGGAGGGCTGACTGTATTTAGTATTTTAAAGTTGCTCTTCTGAGTTTGGTCCACTAGAGCCGTTTTTAACTGGTCCACACTAAAATCACCACAGAGCAGAGCAGAACACATGTCTTCGTCCACATAAATCCACTGCCACATCCCGGGATCTTTCTATGCTGTGACTTTTCTTAAAAGGTGTGAACAAACATGTTTAATCCCAGATAGAGCACCCATTACAGACCAAAGAACGGGTTCCATCCTCGTCTAGCTTAGTGAACCAGTGAATTTGTAGGGGTTACTCAAAGGAGCGTGAGGATCTCAATGGCAACCACATCATGGGTTGGGGGGCGGGGAAAGCCCAATGTACCTACCTCGGGTGATGCAAAGCTGCATCCCTACAGCTCAGTTATCAAGTTTCCTCCATAGTGGAGGAAATGTTTACACAACACGGTCTCATAACGCAGGTTCCGGAAGCTGATGAGGTCTTGAAACAGGCAACAAGATGTATCTGGGAGCCGGGGGCGTGGCTCAGTGGAAGAGCACTTGTTGAGCATGCTCAAAGTCTCTAGCACCAAGTTGCAGCAGGAAAATGGTGCTGGGTCTTGAGGCGCGAGTTCCAAGGGGAGACATAGAGAGGTGCAGACTGGGTGCGGAAAAGACTTTACCAGATCTTGTAGACTCTGGTTTCTCATAGCACAGGCCACACTTTTTCGTTCTTCTTTTCTGTTGTCTACCTCTGCTTTCTAAAAGGCCTTGCAGATTGTGCGCGGCCTGCTTGCCTGGTCTGTTTGAAGGAGGTGTACGCACAAGAAGTTGCCAGCTAGTCTCTGTCCCCTTTGGGGGCATCTCTAAGGTATCAGTGGCGGCTGTAACTGGGTGAGCCAGGTCCAGGCGAGGTTGGTGTAGGAGGGAGAGGACAGAGCGCCAAGATACAATCTTTAGAATGAGTAACCGAGCTGCTGTTTTTACAAGGAATTGGAGATGTTTGCAGAAACAGTTTGCAGTGTCTTACACAGAAAAACTTTTTAGTGAGACTTAAAAAAAAAATCTGTCTTGGCTGAGTTTTCTTTCTTCTATTCAGTTTTATAAGTGCCTCTGGCCGTTTTCTGGTATTCTATATATATTATAAAGTAAGATAAAACCCCTGAAAACTCTCCCTACCTCCCTCCCCCCCGCCACACACATATACACCACTACAGTTTGAAGAGATCACATTATCCTTCTGAGAGACTGGAATCTTCCTGGGCCCTGTGGGGTTTGAAGGCCACCTACAGAATCTTTCTAGTTTCATGACTCCAGCTGCGTTACCGTGACTGCGGGTCTAACTGCTTATTTGGCTACTGTCTCATTTTTGATTTTTTTTTTTCATTTGTATTTTCCTTCAGCTGACAGCGAAGTCAGAGCTGATTCACCAGTTTGTGGAGCATTTAACACAGGCCGTGGAGAGCTATAAGCAGCGGATGGGCTGGCTTACCAGCAGGAGCCGACAGATTTTTGGTGTCATCTTGGAACAGAGCGTCACCATAGTACTGGATTTCAGTGACATTCTGACGGAGGAGCTTAATCTGTGCCGGGACGCGCTGACAATGGTCCTCCAGGAGCAGGTGGCTCTCATCACCAAGTTCAACATCATCTGGTGAGTTCCCAGGGGAAACATTGGTCTCCGTGAAACCTCATACCGACTCGCACGTATTCAAAGTTAAGGAGCAGTGCTAACACAGTTAGCCTGATGGCAAGGGAGGAGGATTATCATAATTCTGCAGAATATACAGTTTCAGCAGAAAACCCACGATGAATAATGAATCCTAGGGAACTTTTATCTGCATTTCTCGGGGCACCTTAGGTGTCATGTGGAGAAAGATTTAGAAGCTTGCTTTTCTTTAATCCACTGGCAGGTCAAAATATGGGAATATGAATTACATATTCGTATTATGTATGCATATATGTGTGTATGTACTGTAGGTGCGAGTCTCATTTTAGGTTGGATAACACGATTAAAGGCCACGACTTTGGCTCTCTTTTCCAGACTGAATCTGTGACACACATTGACCTCTCTTATGAGCTAAACCCTTTTCATCGGAACAACAGGTGGTTACCTTTCTAGAATTTCACTTATGTTAGAGTTTTCATGATTGATTATTTATGGATTCTTGGAGCCACAGGAATGGGGGCCGCAGTGCTAACTCCTCAGCCACATCAGTGGCCGCATCTCCTTGACAAGAAACATCTGGATGAGTGGGTGGAGGGAAAGGTGCCTGAGTTGTTCTCTATTGAATACTGTGCTTTTATCTAACTAGAGGACACCTTTGTGGGTGGGGATCTAGTCCAGAGCTTGACTTTTGACCCAGGTGTGTTACGGAGTTTGGATGTGCACAAAACCTTTCCTTTCTCAGACTCTTTACCATGGCGTATGTGCCACTCAGTCAGAGCTCCTAACCCAGAGAAGCCCCAGCAAGGGGACACAGGTATGAGGCAGCGCTCCCTGTGAGGATGGGGCATTGGCAACAGTCAAGTCAATTTACTTAACATTATAAACACAGAGAAATTCAAACGGTTCCTCTTACTGAGGTGAGGATGCCCTCCAGTCATTTCTAAACCCTAAATAAACGGTTTAAACAAATGTTCTCAGGATTTTAAAGCCTATACTATATTGTTGATGCAGAGGGCAGAGCTGGTGAGACTGCCAGGATCATGAGAACAATGTCACTGGGAATAGACTTTAGAACAATAAGTCGCTACCAACGTGTAAACCGTAATACTGTAAGTTGTTATGCATTTGCGATTGAGAGAAGATAGTTTCATAATCCTGCCTGTTTATGAAAATATTTCCTCCTAGTGTTGGTGTGGGGGTGTGCAGTTACCCTGTGTGCATGCATGCATGCATGTGTGTGCAGACGTATGGAGGCTAGAGCTGCCTTTATCAGTCACTCTTCACTGTATTTCTTTCCCCCGTTTGAGACATCTTCCAGGGAAGCTGGAGCTCACTGGTCAGCGGGCCCTGGGAATCCTCCTGCCTCTGCCTCCCCACTTTGGGGACTGCAGTGTTTGATGTGGGTGCAGCCTTTTGATGTGGATGCTGAAGAAGCAAGCTTTGGTTCTCATGTCTACCCAACAGGCATCTTACTGACTGGCCATCTCCTCGGCTACTCTCTTAGTCTTTTGAAAGCACTTGTACCTTTTAGTTTGCTTCTATGTCACTCCAGTCGGGTCTCCTGGTTCTTATGTCTGTGGGAGGTCATAGCACTTTGAAATAATGCATTACACTCAGTACACTTTCCTGAACAGGACGGAAGTGTCTGAACTGGCTCATGCATTTTCACGCGAACCTTCAGGGGCCTGGCAGTTTGGTTTTCTTTCTCACTGAGGTAACTTTTGGTTGATACCAAAGGCCGACACTTCCGCGGTAGCTTTAATCACGGCCTGGTGACTGCTACCCATGATTCCTTTCAGGGTTTCTGAAGAGCCAGTGAAATGGCAGGAGTGTGCTACCTCTGTGACCGAAGACTCCATAGCTGCCGCCATCAGCTGGGTGGAGAAAATGGCTTTGGAGCCAGTGGCTGTGAGAGAGGTTAGCTGCCTGGATTCTCTGGTGGAAGCTGGGAAAGACAAAACTGTAAGTGTGAATCCATGGCCAGCCCAGGTCACCAAACTTAACTGTGTCTTCCCACTGCTGATCTGGGTCTCCTCCTGGCACCGTCACTGAGAGTACCCACCTCAGGTTCCTGTCCAGTTGCTATGATAACATACCCCAACCACAAACAATTCTGGGACCCTTGAAGAGAGTGAGATAAGGGCAAGGGGTCTCTCAGGGTGGGAGGAATTCCTTAGCCAGCTTCAGCTCCTCCGGAGTGGGAGGTGGAGGTCTGCTTGCCCTTGAGATATAGATGCTAAATACTTGCCTCCTCTATTCTGGAAGGCAGGACTCTCTGTAGGTTTCTGTCTTTATGTAGCTGCACCCGGGAGTCCTTTCTTTACAAAACAAACAAACAAATAAATGCTGGCACACCTCCATTGGCCACCAGCCCATGTTTATCAACACTAAGGTGATGGTTTGAAATTGGGAACACATTTTTCCCCCCTCGCAGAGCCCGCCGAACACATGTTTTCCATTAAAGAAGAACCAAATACGAATCACTTTGTTCTTTGGCCTTTCCAGTCTGTTTTGACATCTGCAAAATTCCAAGCATCTGGGTCTTAATAAGCATTCAAAATGGAATGTTTCCCAGGCTTTGGATGTGCATATGTGTGTGTATGTGGGTGTGTGCGCATGCATGCACGTGTGTGTGTGTGTGTGTGTATATGTGGGTGTGTGTGCGCATACACGCATGCACGTACGTACGTGTGTGTGTGTGTGTGGGGGGGTGTATGTGTACGCCCATGAGCATGCTCTTTGTGGACTTGACTGTATTTCACTTCTGACTCTGGCCATCTGGTATGACTCTAGTCTCCAGATTACCTTGCCTTCCTCCTCTATTCCCCTGGGTTCATTCCTACTTTAGAAAATATGAATAACCCGGTGAGTGCCAGGGGCGTCATTATAAAAGAAGACCTGAGAAAGGTGCCTGCAGGTACTGACCACAACTTTCAACCTGTGGCCTAAAGCAAGCACAAAATGTGTACAAACCACAGACATCCTTCATCAAGAGTTTCCACCTGTGGGTGATCTCAAGGAAAATCTTAGTAAGCACAGCTGTCTTGTGTATTAAAAAGTGCCATGTTCTGTGTCGTGTAAGAGTGAAAAACAGCATGCATGTGCATGGTGGGGTAGGTTGGATCCCTAAAGGCCCACTCCTCTGCTTCATGCCCCTCATGACCATCCCATAGTTTCAATTCATCCATGTAGTCTGCTAAGAATAGAAAAGACGTAAATGTCAAGCTAGTTTTGGAATAATGACTATACCCACGTAGACTTTTCCTACTGATGACAACCGACTTTGGATTGTCTTTCTCCATCCATGGGCCCTGAAGCTCATAAACATTAATATCCAAAATTTAACATGGAAGCCTGTATTATGTGAAGCCCATCTGTGGAGGAGACCACTGGTCTCGTTCAGTACTGGGCTTAGTAACCGGAAGAACGGACAAGAAGAGAGGACTGAGCATGGGTCTTGGGGTCTAAGAGGAGCCCAGGCAGAGTGTGAGGGGTCTGTTTAAACCGTGTCTTCAATACTAGCAATCACAAGGCACAATTGAAGTCTGGGTCATCACTGTATCTTGTGCAGAAGGATCTGGTTTGTGGGATGGGCAGCCTGGGAGCTACTGAGGAAAGGCCTGGCAGGTGAGGACTGGGGGTCCTGAGAGCCCAGCTGTTCTGGCCAGCACAGGGTTTCCGCGGTACCAGCACAGGGTTTCCGCGGTACCAGCAGGCTCAGCACACAGGGCCTTTGGAAAGAAAGGGCTCTTTAGCAGTGTCCTGGGCCTTGGTTGCCCACGAAAGCTGTCTGAGGAGTTTCATTCAGGCTTCCGGAAGTCCATCTGCCCTGCAGGATGCCTGACTTTCTAATTTTTGTTTATCTTAATTTGTCTTTCATGTACCTGGTAGGCACACATTTGGAATTGGGGGTTTTTAAATCATATTCACAGGGAAACGAAGTTGAGTCAGTTAAAGAGAGAATCTCCCAGTCCCACCAGGGGCCTGCCCTGCTAATTGCCAAACCATCAATCTGTAAAACTGACAACTCATTTGTTTCCTCAGAGCTGTTTGGACAGGTGTAAATTTTTTTCATTGTGTCCCTGATACCTAATCAGGGCTGCTGAAATGTTTATTGGTCAGCGAAGGAATGAAAAGGAAATACTATCAATATGGTTGAGTTTGGGGACTGGATATAGTTCCAAGGGGTTCTGGTCCTAAACACATTGCACAGAATCAAGATTTTTGGCTTTTTGTTTTGTTTTTCAATTGAAGAGACAAGAGACGTGGATGGTGCTGGGCTGAACATAGACCTTAAAGCCTGGAAGGGCAGATAGTGATGGTCCAGTGGGGTGTGAGGAGGGATCTAGTACGGATCCCAATACTGACTATAAGGAGGAGTCATCACCATGAAGGGAATCAGAAAATCAAAGTGGCCCAAAGAAGGAAAGGGCTGTCAGAGAAACGGGGAGGACCAGGAGTTAGAGCCCCGGGTATGGGGATGGTTTAGATGCTTCAGTGTTATGAGGAGCGAGGCAGTCTTTGCCAGCCTCCTCGCTGTGCTTTGGGCTGCTTGTGCTTCTTGAGAAGGGAAGATTTTTATGCCCAAGGCTTTGGGATGAGAGCCGGCTTGGACAGGTGGCAGAGAGGATATCTGGAGTAGAAGCAGCTGCTCCTTGTCTGTGTCTTTCTTTTCTTCCTCCCAAAACTGATGGCAGGAAGATGGATGCCAAGGTCTCTTTGTCTGGGCAGAATGCAGGTTGCCATGTAATGATCCAGACTGAAACAGGACCTAAAGGTGCCATCCTAATTGTGTGTGTGTGTGTGTGTGTGTGCGCGTGCGCGCGCGCATGTGTGTGCAGGTGATACATATCTGTGTACATTTCTATGAAGGTCTGAGGTCCTCAGATGTCACATAGCTTCCTCAATTGCTCTCTGCCTTACTTTTGGAGACAGGGTCTCTGATTGGACTTGGAGCTCTATGATTGACCAGACTATCTGCCCAGTGAACCCTATGGGTCCCCCATTTTTGTACCCCAAGCACTGTGATTATAGGCACTCACCACTGAGTCTGTCTTTTGCAAGAGTGTTGGGGATCGAATTCAGGTCTTCCTCTTCCTACTTGAGCTGCAAGCACTTTATGGGCTGAACCGTCTCCCCCGCTTACCCTCCTATTTTACGTGGAATAATTGCAGGAGCTTTTGGCTTACTCCTCAGTGCAGTAAAGGCAGGTTTCAGTTCAATGACATCTCAAGAGGAAAACATCTCTGCTCGAGAGTCTCCATTTCTTGGGCCATTGCCAGCAGCAGTGAAGCATCCTGGCAGAGACTGCTGGCACAGCCCTCTGCATCCCTGGGTCCTTATCTGCCTTTCGCTCTCACAGACCCTAGAAGGTACTCTGTCTGTTCCTGTACTCGGGCCATGTGTCGTTACAGATGCCTATGAGAGGCTATTCCTACATTAAATTTGGGCACAGAGGCAGCTGGGAAATGCTTGTGCTCCATTTGTACACCTGGCGCCAGGCCTGTGTCACACTAGGAAGAGGAATGGCCTGGGGTGAGTTTGCTGGAAAAACAAAACAAAACAATTCGGTCAACTTAACACTCGATGGAATGCTGCTTCTTGGATTGTTTTCTTCTGCCTGCTAGATGTCTGGTGGGAGATTTACAGCATTCATTAGGCTCCACTTCCTAGCAGGTACTTCCTGTAAAACTCTGGGAGTTAGTGTTGACAGACTGGGGAGGAAGAGCTATGGGAGGGGGTGGGGCTTTTCTGTGCCCACTAGAGGAGGTAGTGGCTGATGTAGTCTGGTCTAGGTTGTCACTCTGGCCATTTAACTCCCAACCTGTGTCCTTGGCTACCCCTGTTCTTCTCGCCCCCTCAGACACAAATTTCTGCTGCAGACCGAGGCTCCTAACCAACTGGACAGCCAATCATGAGTCTATTCCCTCTACCAGATTCCAATGTTAAGGGGGAAACATTTGTTGACTAGCTTCAGCTCATAAGGGGTTGAGGTTAATGCATAAATAAGTCATGGGCCCTAGGATGCCTGCTTCTCACTCTCACAGTGCGTTTGTGGAGGCCTCTACCCAGTTCTATGTGGGAGTGATCCATTAAGGTGATTTTGAGGGACAGGCTCAGATGGTGTGTATTCCTGATTTGCTTTGATTGGTACTTTCAGAGATTTCTGTAAAGTATACATATACACATTAGTGTAGATCCCAAAGTTCAGAAAACCAAGCCACAAGGATAAATTGTGTTGTCTCATTTTGACCTAAAGATAGGTCACTTGCCTGAGTTCACGCATTCATGTCAGGAGAAGATCTAGTGGGGTGCTACTGAGGACACATTTCATGGGTCTCTTTGGTGGGCTTTACATATCCCTAGGTTATGCCAAGAACACTTATTTTTGGTAAGATGTGCATCTCCCAAAATCCCCGGATTAAGATGGGCATGTCACTGTGATCAAGGAAGTAAGTCATTTTCATTAAGATGAGCCTTGCATGTTTTCTCTCACAGATGCTCAAACTGGGGCGAGTGCCCGCAGAAGAGGTGTGTCTGTTACTTTTCTCACTGCTGTGACAGAATGCTCAACAAAAGAAGGGTTTATTCGGCTCGCAGTTTAAGAAGGGCTACTGTCCGTCACTGCAGGGAAGGCATGGCAGCAGGACTGTGACATGCTTTATAGTAGTCAGGAAATAGAGAGCAGACAGGAAGTGGAACGTGACCACGAAACCTCAAAGCCTACCTCCAGTGACCCACTAGCCTCAGCAAGGCCCTACTTCTTAAGGTTTCTAGAACTTTTGAAAACTGTGTCTCCAGCCGGGGACGGAGTGTTAAAACAAATGAGTCAGTGGGGAACATTTCACATCCAATCTACATCAGGAAGGGAACAAGGAACAAGCTGGGAGATAAGAGAGGGTAGCAGAGAGAGTAGAAGTAATCAGACTATATATACCAAGAAGATACATGGAAACAATGTAATGGAATTCGGTATTTTGTATAATTAATGTACACCAACCTATAAAGGTGTATTGTAGTCTGTGTTTGTGTGGTGTGTGTCTGTGTGGTGGTGATGGTATATGTGTATGTGTGTAATGCTACCATGTGGTGATTATAGTGTGTGTGGTGTATCTGTAGTATGGTTTGTGTGTGTGTGTATGTATGGGGGTATGGTGTATATGTACTATGTTGTATGGTGTGGGGGGTGTGGTGTATATGGGGTGAGGTGTGTGTCTGTGTGGTATGGTGTGTGTGTCAGGGGTAGTGTGTAGTGCATGTGTTGTGTTTGGTGTATGTGCGTTAATTACGTATATGTATATGTTGTTGTATGCATGCAGTATAAGCAGTGTGTGTGGTATGTATGTGTGATATGGTATGTGGGGTAGTATGTGTGAGTGTGGTGTGTGGTATGTGTGTTAATTATGTGTTATATATGTGTTGTGGTGTGTTTGCGTGTGCAGTATATGCAGTGTGTGTGTGGTGTGGGGGGTCTGGTGTGGGGGTATGTGTGAGTGTGGTATGTGGGTGTGCTTGTTTGTGTATTGCTTCTGACATGGATAGTCCACTGGGCATTGTGTTCTGGCCCTGTTGTGTGGAGCAGAGCCAGGTGGGCACATCCTTCTCTTGACCAGCAGCATGGAATCAGGATGGCCTCATCTCCCCAGGCATGTGTTTCCCTAGTGAGGAGAGAGCAGAGGATGAACCAACTGGGAATACACCCTCTCTTCTGCATCCCACCTCAGACTGACAATGGATGAGTTTGTGCTGCAGAATTCTGCACCTCCTGGGGAAGTGGATAATACTGTGCTCCCTGCCCTCAGTGGCTGTTTGGGCCCAAACTTTCTTTGTTTCTGGAAAACAACCTTGCCTCTCTGTCTGTGTACCTGTAGGTCTGAGGCAAATGCTCTCCAGATCTGCCAACTATATTCGTTGTGCAGCACCTAAGGACTATGGTATAGACACAAGTTTCTTTCCTGCCTGGTCCCACAGCCATTCAGTCCCAAAGAAACACACAGAGGCTTCTACTAATTATAAACTGCTTGACCTGTTAGCTTAGGCTTATTATCAACTAGCTCTTATAACTTAAATTAACCCATAATTCTTGTCTATGTTTAGCCATGTGGCTTGCTATCTTTGCTCAGTGCAGCATTCTCATCTTGTTTCCTCTGCGCCTGGCTGGTGTCTGCTTTCTGCTTTTCCTCTTCCCAGAATTCTCTTAGTATAATTGCTCATCCTATACTTCCTGCCCCTGGCTACTGGCTAAGCAGCGTTTTATTAAACCAATACGAGTGACAAATCTTTACAGTGTACAAAAGCATTCTCCCACAGCACCATGGCTATTGTCAAGAGACCTTGAATGATTCAGTTGCTGACCTTGTATCTCAATGCCGTCATGGGACACTGACCATAGCTTCTATTTGTTCTGTCCTCTCTTTTTTTTGCATCAATTAGGAAATGTGTTGCTGATGCATGTGGCGCAAGTCTGGGGTATATGGCGGGCTAATAAGCGTTGTCATCGGTGCCTCTGTCTTGCAGATTGAAGCCATTTATTACTTCGTGGTGGGGGATGTTCCAAAGGAGTCTCAGGAGCTTCTTCTCCAGAGGGTTTTAGAGATCCCATATCCAGTCTGCACAGTGTCCTTCAATGCCAGACGAGAAGAAACTGTAGCTTTCCTAAAAGATCTGAGTGCCAAGACCAACAGCAGGTAGGCTGACAATGGACTCGAGAGGGCCTGAGCATGGGTGGCCAACTTACAATCTAGAGGCTTGCGCAGTATGTCCCTGTGTACAGTCCCCATGGTTCATATACCCGTTTCTTCATTATACAGCAATCCAGTTCTTCTGTTCTGATGTCTTGGAGTCTTTAGGACTGCAGAGATTGTTCCCCGCCCTAGTCAGCTAATTCCTAGAGATAGGAAGTACTGTCTGGAGTTTACAGGGTCTCATGCTCAGGACAATTGTCACCTCAGCGCCAGACAGGGACAATTGGAGATAGCTCTGCATCCATACCTCCCTGCAGTTCTTTATATTAGCCAATCTTTTTTTAATTTTTTTAAAAAAACATCCAGGTTATTGTATGTTAAATAAGAGGAAATTGTTAGTGATATCGAGGCCTGGACTTAGCCTTTATTGACACCAAAGGCAGGCCAGAAATACATATTTTCACCACCATTCTGCCTGTTAGAGTTGGTGGAAAGGCTGTTCTTGCCCACAGCTCCAGGGACCCCGATTTTCCATGAAGAGGGTCAGGATTTGTCATGTGCAACAAGACCCGTGAGAATCTGAACTCACCACTCTGGAAACTCTTCCACCACTTTGAAATCACCAGGCACAGGGCTTTGGCCCTCGGATCTTGAGTATTCCCAAATACACAAAAAGAGGCTCCTCATCCACTCTCTCCAGGGTAGAAAGGCAGCTGGCAGGATTCCCTCTCTAGCTAGTCCTTGCCTCCCATCTCCCAGGGAACAACATGCCACAGGCAGCACTGATTCATCTGCTGCATTTTCAGACCATCTCTTGCAGGGTGGCGGGTTTGCATGAAATGTTCAGGGGGAGGTGTACCATCCTCTGTGTGCTCTGGACCCTCACAAAGGAGCCCGACGCACAACCCTTAGTGCTTCTGCCTGTTGTGTTGTGGGCTCAAACACACCATGCCTTCTGCCATTCCTTTGTGCTCTGGGCTTCTGGACCCAGCTAGAGGGCAGTGAATATCCAACTGGAAACAGCAACATCTTTCTGGGTTTAGTTTGCTGGCTGCCTAGGCCATGAGCTCTCCAACTGGACTCTGATCCTCACCTCCCTAATGTCCAAGACTGTGTTCGTGTGGAGCCATCAGCGTGGGTGTGGGTGCTATGATAATAGAAGTACTCTCCAAAGAACCTTTCATAATTGTGTCTCATCCCATTAGAGATTAGAATGTCTGCCCTGTTCCCTTTTCTAATCTGAAGAAGAGATTAGAGAGTAGAAAGTTCTAGTCATCCAAGGCCTTGGCACTCAGGGTTTGCCAGGACAGACCGCCCCCTGCCCCTCACCACATACACACACACACACACACACACACCACCACCACCACCACCACCACCTTGAGCAGTCACCAAAGGAAGAGAGCTGACCCTTTCTGCTCAGCAAGGTGCCTACAGGAGGCAGACATAGCAAGGCTGGGTGCCCCAGCTTCAGGGACCTCAGGGCCGCAGGAATGAATGAGGCTGTCTTGTTCACTGCCATGAAGTCAGAGTGCCAGTCTCACCGGAAACTCTGTAGGAAATGATAGTCTTTCCACAATCCAGGAGGCTCCGAGACAGCTTCCACTTCTGTTTGTCCATCTGTCGACTCCAAGTGGTCCGGCAGCAGGAATCCCTGAGTTGAATGAGCAGTGACAAGCGGAGGCTGATCTCTGAGCATCACCTAAGAATCAGAGATCACCTTTGGGAATCGGAAATTAATGTCCTATCACTGACTTTCTGGGTTCCAGGAAGGAGTTTTAGAAGCAGTTTCAGGGCTGAGGATGTAGCTCCCTGGTGTACGTGAGGGCCTGAGATCCAACTGTACAGAAGGGGGAGGGAGAAAGAAAAAGAGAGGCAGGCCCATCGTGTTGTACCACACCAGCAGCCGCAAGCTTCAACGTGCAGACAAATCCTCTGGGGATCTTGTTAAAGTCATGTGCTGACTCAGCAGGTCCAGGCAGGATCACGGATCTCTCACCAGCTCCCAGGCGACACTGCTGCTGTTCCTTGGACCACACTCGGAGCTGGCAGGCCCCCAAAACTTGCCCACACAGGAATTCTTTTCATAAGCTCTTAAGCTCAAAACCTGGGGCAGTATGTGTTTGCCGAGTTACGCTTGACTGAGGCCACTCAGCAATAGGCAAATTAGTCAAGCTTGGCTGTACCCCCAGCTTTCAGTGTTGAGCCAGTCGGTGCTACTGGCTGCTAGTGGGGCTCCCCCATTTGATGCCTGGGCCATCAAAGCTATGTTAATGTGATAGAGACTTAGAGACAAAATAACACAAACTACCATTTTCCTATGATCAAGAAATACCATTGGGTTGAGCTAAATAATATAATGAGAAGCCACATCACTGCTAAAAGTCGCAAACCATTCTTGTGTATGTGCATCTAGCTTTATATGGAGGCCAGAGTCAATGCTGGACATTTTTCCTGGTCACTTGCCACCTTATCTTCTGAGACAAGTCTTTTCAATGAACTTGAAGCTCGCTGATTCAGTTAGGCTGGCTGGCCAGCAAGCTCTGGGAATCTGTCTATATCTCATCAGTATTGAGATCATAGATATATGCTCCAATCCTTGCTTTATATGTGGGCTTTATAAGCTGGGGATCTGAACCCAGGTCCCCATGCTTACTCAACAAACTGATCTGAGCCATCTCTCTGCCTGGCTTTGATCATGAAAGTTGACAAGACAAGGCATAGGGAAATCAGAGAATAGGAAGTTCTAAAGAGGCTTGCAATTGGGTGTGGCATTGTATACCTTAGTCACGGCTACTTGGGAGATGGAGGCAGAAGGATTGCTTGAGCCTAGAATTTCAGGGCAACATAGTGAGACCCAATCCTGAGAAAACAAAAGAAACAAAACCAAGATTTGGAGCACCAAAGACAGCAAATCAACGGAAGCATTGACGGGCATGGTGCCTAACACAGAACACCCTTCATGTTTCAGATTCCATGCCTTTGCTGAGAGAACAGAGTGTCTAGAATTCTCTACCTTTTCCACAGAAGATATTGATGGCGCAGTGACTTGGAATTCAAGGAAACTGAAAGGGAGACTTCCTCCAGGTACCTGGACTCCTGAAGGAGCAGCGGCACTTATAACCTTAATCATTTCAAGTGGTCTGCCACGCAGTTTGGAAGTAAAGGCGAAGTAGAGGCCACCCATATCTTTTGTATTGTTTCTGTGGTATGAGGATGTGCCCACTGGAATTTCACAGTGAGTGGGTATGTCTAGAGACTGCTTTAAATGCCTCACTCATGGGATCTAAGTGATATGTGCTTACTGACTTGGGAACAATCTAGAGATGTGGCCCTATCCGTGCTACTGCTGGGGTTAGATCTAAGGCAGGCTGAGCCACTTTATTGCCTGGGTTAGCTGGGGGTCCCTGCGGTTCTCAGGATAGCGCTCTTTGTTTCTTGTGATGTAAGCTGTACTTGCAGGATGAGCCTGTCCTTGTGAGGGTCAAGGCTAAACAGGGACTTTTATGGAGGCTGAGGGAGCCTCATTTTTCATTCAGGAATGTGGTCTAGTGAATGAGGTCACAAATCATGAAGAAAGGGAGCTATGATTCAGAAAGCCAGTAATGGAATTGTACTCAGAAAGCCAAGAGATGGGAATTCCTTTGGGGCTGATGAAATGGCAAAATGCTAGACACTCAGTAAAGACGGGGAAGGAAGGTCCTGTCTGGTTATTACATGACGCAGCACAGCATGGCACCTCAGCTGTTTAGAAATTGTTGTGGTTTGAATGAGACATCGCCATATCCTCAGGTGTTTAGGTAACTTGGTCCCCAGCCAGTGATGACATTTAAAGAGGCTTAGGAGTTGTGGCCTTACTTGGAAGAATGTCACCTGGGGTGAGCTTTGAGGTTTTAAAGCCTCCCACCAATCTGTTCACTCTTTCTGCTTCCTGCTTACAGTTTAAGATGTGAACTCTTGCAGGGTGGTGGTGATGCATGCCTTTAATCTTAGCACTCGGGAGGCAGAGGCAGGCAGATCTCTGTGAGTTCGAGGCCAGCCTGGTCTACAGGACTAGTTCCAGGACAGCTAGGTCTGTTACACAGAGAAAACCTCTCCTGAAAACAAAAACAAAAAGATGTGAACTCTTAGCTTGCTGCTCCCATCACCATTTTACTACTGCCAGCTTCCCCACCGTGACGGTGATGAACTCTTATCCATCCAAAAGGATAATAACGCCCAAATAAACCCTGTCTTCTCTGTGTTGCCTTGGTCATGGTGCTTTCCCACCACAATAGAAAGAGAATTCAGACAGAAGCCTGAGGGATCCAGTGCCTGCCTCTACCCTCCCACTCAACTGTAGTTATTAAGCAGGCTTCTAGCTTCAGTACAAGGTAAGGGTGACTGCTTGGGTGTAGGAAAGAAGCTGAACAGCATTGCCAGGGCTCAGGAGGAGAAGGACATTTGTGTGGTCAGCTAGGCTATGAGATGGAGCTAATGGCAGGACAGCAGTTCAGAAAGCCCATACCTGACACACATTTTGCGTACTCAAATTCTTCATGTGCCAGAGACTATAGCCAGGGAGGGATGTCCACTACCTAGCACTGCTCTAGGTAACTGACACATGTTTCTGATCATGAAGGAGACATGTCCAGTTAATTTGAGAAAATGGTTGGTGCTTAATTGCGCCAATAGTTTCTTTCTCTCCTTCTTCTTCTTCTTCTTCTTCTTCTTCTTCTTCTTCTTCTTCTTCT